CACACATGCACTGACACACACAAATACTTGGTTTTGCCCACTGACTATTTTTCTTTTGTGGAGCTGATTTTTTTTTCTTATTGAATTGTAAACATTCATTATACATTAAGAATATGAAATTCCAGCCTGTTTTATATGTTGCCTGTAGTTTTTCCTAGGTCATTAATCATCTCTTGATTTTTTTTTTTTTTTAAGATTTTATTTATTTGACAGAGAGAGAGAAAGCGAGAGAGGTAACACAAGCAGGGGGAGTGGGAGAGGGAGAAGCAGGCTACCCACTGAGCAGGGAGCCCAGTGCTCGGGGCTCGATCCCAGGACCCTGAGATCATGACCTAAGCCAAAGGCAGACGCTTAACAACTGAGCCACCCAGGCACCCTAGCTCTTGATTTTCTTTATGGTGTTTTTTGGTCAGTGCATTTTATGTAGGTGGATCTATCAATCTTCCATAGTGGCTTCTGTGTTTGGAGTTATGTGTAGAAAAACCCAGAGCATTTATTGAGTGTTATGCCATGCACTGCTCTGGACTTGTGCATCCTTCCTCTGCCCCCATGCCTAGTGACTTAGGTGACCCCTAGATACCTCCAGCCCTAGATGAAAAGGGCACAGTCCAGGGAAATGTGTGAAGTTTGTCCATCTCTTAGAGCTCTTGGTTAAAGTTAGTCAGCTAACTGCTGGAACATTCCTTGGCAGTGAAGAGAGCTGATTATAATTCCCAAGGATTTGGGTAACCATGTGCATGTTATAAGGTTATACTCTTCAGTGCCCAGAACCAGGTATGATTTCCATCACTTATTGCTGTATCTTCCTGGAAAATAATCCTCCATTTTAGCAGAATTAACTCGGATTTTAAAATTATAGTTTCATTTTGTCCTGAAGAAATATTTTTTTAAAAAGTATTTTAAGGGGCCCCTGGGTGGCTCAGTTGGTTGAGCGACCGACTCCTTGTTCCAGCTCAGGTCATGATCTCAGGGTCCTGGGATTGAGCCCCATATCAGGGTCCACTGGGAGTCTGCTTGGGATTCTCTCTCCCTCTCCCTCTGCCCTTCCCCCTGGCTTGTGCTTGTGTGCACGCTCTCTCTCAAATAAATAAATCTTTAAAAAAACAAATATTTCAAGAGATGGCAAAAGCACAAAAAAGCACTACTCTTGTAGTCCCTGTTCCCACCTTGTCTCCACACAACCTGGAAAAGCATGGAAAACTCAGTTGTCATGCATTTTATCTGCCCCAGGTAACCATTGAAAGGTCTGACCTGTCCATGTTAAGATAGCACAGGAACTGATAGTCGAGGAAAACCCTGTAAGCCAGAGAGCCCAAGTCTGATTCCTGAAGCAGCAAGTATAAACAGTTCTTCAAATGCTGTTCACCTGTCATCGGACTAGACTCCTTGGGGCAGGTTCTCTCTGGGGGGGAGACACAGTGTGCTCTCCTGTGACTGCCAGTCTGTTTGCTGGGTTCTCCTGCTGATGTATAAATTAAGTGAGATCAGTGTTGCAAAGAATTTGGGAATGAAGAGATAGGGAAGAACAAACTTGTGACAGAGTCTTACTGAACCTTAAGAGACTTTTATTGCTTTGAGTAATGGACCAAGGAGGGGGGGAATGTTGGGTCCCTTCTGCTTCCCTATCCCACCCCCTGTACCCACTTTAACTTTGAGTTTTATCCCAAATGTCACTTATTAGAGGAAGGTTTCCCTATCCTCACTGACTAGATCAGATGCCCTTAGGGTGCATCTTAGTCCTTTAGTTTCCTTAAAACCTTCATCCGTGTAATATTGACATTTATTTATATGAGTAAAACACGCATGGCTCCCACCTTTGTGAAACTTACAGTTTATTTGAGAGGTGGAGACACATTAATAATATATATATTATATATTATCTGACTCAGATCATTAATGGGTTAATTGAAAGATAAATCATTTTTGGATGAAACAATCTATTTTGACTTAAGATGTATAAATGTGCATTCATTTGCAAATCTCATGGGAAGCCTTTTTCTTGGCATACGGATTGTCTACTGGGTTCCCTTGAGTGTTTTCTTGCATAAACTACATCTAACGAATACCCTGTGATTTTCAGTGGAATGAGAACTTTGATACTTTGGAACAATATGAATGCAAAATTCTCTTGATTTTTAATTATTCCCACCCCCCCATCCTTTCACACTGATTTTGCCCGTATCTGTTTTGGCAGTACTGTCCCCAGTGATTCATATTTATTCTTCTCAATAGCAGCTACAATTTTTTGTTGGTGTGTGGAGGAGGGAGGCAGCTGTCTCTGAGAAGAGCTCCTGAGGGCCAAGACAGGGTCGGGCAACCAGCTGCTCCTGCAGGTGTCGAAATTTCCGCCATCAGTGCATGGTGCTTTGGCTCTGTCCACCTAGGAGGTGGGCCCTGAGTCACATGATTGTGGAGAACACAAGCCCTCACGCCTGGGTCACAGTGCCTTGCTTGGATCCAAATGCTCACACAGCTGCTCTATAACATTTCCCAGCAGTCTCTTTGGTCCAACTAAATCTGTGTTTATTTTTTATAGTGAAAATCATTTCTTTTTTCTTTTTTTAAAAAAGATTTATTTGTGAGCGAGCGAGCGAGCGAGAGAGTACAAGTCGGTGGAGGGGAGCAGCAGAGGGAAAGGGAGAAGCAAGCTGAGCAGGGAGCCCAATGCTCAGAGCTCAATCCCAGGGCCCTGGGATCATGACCTGAGCCGAAGCCAGACGCTTAACCGACTGAGCCACCCAGGCGCCCCAGTTAGTCATTTCTTTGTGTTTAGGGTAGAGGGTAAAGATACAAGGTGTTCCCTAGCCATGTTTTCTTTTTCACATCCATGGTCACTCAGATGCCCCGATGTCTCTTGGAGCATACGACTGGGCAGGCGTTTTCTTTGTTTAAGAGGGAACAGAGCACGAATGCCTGGGGCCTCACTGAGCTCATGTCCCAGAGTACTGGGCCTGCGGTAGCTGGGCACCCTGCTATGTCACGCACTGCCCTCCTTCCCTCCTCCCCTGTGCTCCCTGCAGTGTGGGCTCTGGGCTGCCTTCTGGTGCTCAGCGGACTAGGGGCCTGGATCCTGTCTCCCTTGACCCTCGTGAGCTTAATGTCTAATGGGAAAGTCCTTTCCTAGAAGAATAGCAATTGCTTTAATGTTCTGCTTGACCCATTAGGATGGAGAATGGCATCTTCCTTTCTCTGTTCACTTTTTGGGTGCAAGGGCAGACATCTATGATTGCAGCAGGACCAGGAAGAACAGAGAATATTCCTCAGGTAATTAGCTTCTTGGTCTGCTACCAGAGCAAAATCATGCTGTGTTTGCAGCTTATTTATTTATAGGTCAATGTCTCCCATTACATTCTGAGGTCCTTGAGGGCAAAGTATGAAAGGGTGGCTTAACATTAGCGCTTTAAAAGTCAGATGACCAGAATTCAAATTCTGCCTTTGCCATTACCAGCTCTTCTGACCACACGCACATTATTTAAACTCTTTATGCCTCAGTTTTCTCATTTGCACAATGGGGATAATAATAATAATATTTTCTTCATAAGGTCGTTGTACAGATTTTATTTATTTATTTATTTTAAGCAAGCTCCATTACCAGTGTGGAGCCCAGTATGGGGCTTGAACTCACGACCCTGAGATCAAGACCTGAGCTGAGATCTAGAGTCAGACACTTACCAGCTGAGCCACCCAGGCGCCCCATGTTGTGCAGATTTTTTAAAGACACAGCATAGAGGGACGCCTGGGTGGCTCAGTCGGTTAAGCGTCTGCCTTTGGCTCAGGTCATGATCCCAGGGTCCTGGGATCAAGTCCCGCATCGGGCTCCCTGCTCCGCGGGGAGCCTGCTTCTCCCTCTGCCTCTGCCTCTCTCTCTCTCTATCTCTCATGAATAGATAAATAAAATCTTTAAAAAAAAAAAATAAAGACACAGCATAGAAAACATTTAGCATAGTGCCTCGTTTGTAGCAAGTGCTCAATAAATGTTAACTATGATGCTGCTGTTAATAATCATTCTGGTGCTGTCAGCACCTTGCAAATTGCTGTAAATATTTGCTGAATGAATATTCAGGAAGTAGGGTTTGGAAGCCTCACTAGAGACTAGAGACATTTTAACACCAGGTTCACTAGGGAGCTTACAAAAGCAGGTCTGATCACAGATGGAGCGCCTGCCCGTGCTAATAAAGTTAACAAAGAACATTTCTTGAGCAGGCACCATCCCAGGAGAGCAGTTCATTGAGTTAGCTGGGATTATTATGTTAAATTCTGCTGGAATGCTTTCATTTATTTCTATCTATTATTAGAATAACTCTAGGGAACTGACGTTAGTGGACCAAATGTGTTGGTGACGGATGGGGGCAGCAAGTAATTGGTGCTCTATGTAAAAACTGGGATTTTGCTTTCTTGAAGAGAGCAAGATTCTAAATTGTATTGAGAAAAAGCAGTTTTGGGTGTGGCCACAAATGAATCAAAGAAATGCACCCTTCAGAAGTCCTTAGAGATTCCAGGTTAACAGTGGGAAACATCAGCACATGGCCACCCAGCTTGAGTTCTGGCATTCTTTTTAAAATTCTGTCCTTTGACACTTTCTTCCTTTTGTTGTGGTTCCATGGAGCCATTTGATATATTGCCTAGGTAAATAGTCTTTACGTTTTTTATAATTCAGCATGAGTTCAAAGCCTCTGGCTTCTTAAAATCCAAAGAATAATGTTCACTGCCCCTTAAAAAAAAAAATCAGATCTGTTCTCTCTCCCAAACTGCAGGAAGCCGTCTTCCATCTCCAGCTTGTCTTGCCCTGTTGTGGGCTGGGGAACAGGCGGGGTGGCTGGATGGTTCTGTCAGCCTCCCTCATTCTTAGTGGACACAGACACATCACACTTCACGGGTCGCTCAGAGATGTTCGACAAGCACTGTCGTTGTATTTGGTGCATCCAAAGGGTCATGCCTCCCAGCTAGGTCTTTCGGACAGGAAGTGACAGAAATATGATGGCCTCTTTCCCTCTTCCCAGATCTGATGTTTCAACGTGGCTTCCTGCTTCGGTGCTGTTTGTGGGTATAATCTATGCTGGTTCCAGAGCATTATCCAAACTGGTAAGTGTTAGAGACTTTTTAGAGAGACAGTTTCTCTTTCCTCCTCCCGTTTGCTTTTTAACTTATTGCACCTTGGCTCAGTAGGGGACACGACATCAGCTTTCATAATGGTACAGCTAGATTGGAGAACAACGTGGGGCCTTTTACCCCTCTCCCTGAATTGAGGATAACCAGATAACAGGGTCGGGCCAACTTGTTTTACAAGATGCAGAGGCATAGGTGGAGACGCAGGGAGAGAGAGAGGTGATCTTTATGGAGGCTGACCCAGACAGGGCCAGTCCACTCTGCCTGAATGCAGGCTGTCCTCGGGAGCAGCCTACTCCTTGCTTCTGAGGAACTGTAACCCTGCCCACTGGTGATGTGGACTGGGGGGTGCTGGGCTCAGTAGCAATGTACCTGCCTGGCACAGCGTTGGTATCCAGTCTGTGGGGACACTAATAAAACAAGTGTCCCCCTGTTCTCCCATTCCAGCTGCCCGTTTGAGCTCCTCAAAGGAGAGAACTGTAAAGAATAAACTTCTTCCAGTTACATTATATGAAAATATAAAAATTTAGTTATTTTTTCCATCAAAAGAGAATCCATTGATATGGCCATTGACCAGAGACTCAGAACAAGGTTTAAAAGTCAGTAATGCCTCTTTCTGTCTTGTCCCCTGACTGCTTGTACTGTCTTTATCATAAAATGATTGTGTTGTGACCTTTGGAAAAGTGCAAAATTTGTGGCACTGTTCAGTCTTTTTATGCAAAGTCTGTTGTTATGTTGGTCCCTTAGGTCTCAGATATGAAAACATTAAAACAAACACAAAATCTGCCTACCCGCACAACAGTATTATTGTTAGGACAACCCTGAAGTTTGCAAAATAGCAGTTGAGAGTTACTAGCGGTGATTAAATCATCATTTTTCTTTCATGATTCATAAGCTTGAGTCATTGGGATGTTGTGTCCAATGGGGGAGAAACGTCCTGGGTGGGCCCAAGAAATGACCCACAGCACATATTGGTGCTCAGCCCAGAACCTGAGACCTGCACTGGCTTCCGGCTGCCCCTTCATTCTGTCGGCTTCCATGTCTGCTGCCTCGCTTTACACATGCTGGCCTGCAGAGGGCGCTCCCCCTCGTATAGCAGAATACAGGTGTTGATAAAAACAATGCATTCTTTTTTTTTAGTTTTAATTTAAATTCCAGTTAGTTAACATACAGTGTAATATTAGTTTCAGGTGTAGAATGTAGTGATTCAACACTTCATATAACACCCGGTGCTCATCACAACAGGTGCCCTACTTAATGCCCATCACCAATAGAACCCATCCCCCCATCCCCCTTCCCTCTGGTAACCAGCAGTGTGTTCTCTACAGTTAAGAGTCTGTTTCTTGGTTTGCCTCTCTTCTTTTCATCCCCTATGTTCGTTCATTTGAAAAACAATGTATTCTTGTTCAAAGGCTTTGAAAATTTCCTATAGGATCTGGATAGTTATAGACGCCAGAATTTTGAAGTTTGAATAACTATTGTTGTGCTAATAATAACATTTTTTATTTGTACAGTGCTTTTTTGTATGTTTCCATAGTGATTTCCTCTGTATCTTTTTATGTGATTCTCAGTCACCTGACAGGCGGCGGATGAAGCAGATGTTAATCACCTGACAGAGGAAGGCACTCAGGTGTGGAAAGTCTTGGTAACCTGCCTCTAGCCTCAGCTTGTGGCAGCTCCTCTGACTCCAGACCTTTTGCCTTTTCAGATTTGTCTCTTTAGGGCCAGCATACGTGGATTTTAGAATAGCTCAGGGTAGAGTAGTCAGGCGTAACTTTAGACTCTTTTAGTTACAAGTTACAGAAAGCTCATAAACTGTTCTAAGCAAAAAGGAAATGAACTGGTTCACAGAATTGAAAAGCTGTAGATCAGGCAAGGCTTGATCCAGAGGTTCCAATGACATTCTCAGAACCCAGTTTCTGTCTCTCTGTCTTTAGTTCTGCTCTTGTCTTTTCTCCATTTCACAGCCAGGCTCTCCCCTCCTGGGTGTTGTTGACTCTAGGCTCACATCCTTACAACATGAAGTGTAATGGAAAGAGACTCTTCCTCGTAGCTCCTGCAGGAACCTCAGGATTCACTCTGAATACACCAGTAGGGCCACTGCCCTTCCCAGGTCTGAAAGCTCACCAGGAAGATGGAATTATGCTGATTTTTCGGCCCTGGGTACGGGTGTTCCTGGACCATTCACTGTGGCTGCAGAGACTCAGAGCACTGTTTGGCCAGCCCTGCTCAGACAAGATCCCTGTCTGGATCCCATAGACTGAGAGAGGGGGTGGCAGATCCTTGATATTGGGATGCTTCACCAAAAGAAGGGCTAAGGATACTAGATAGCCTAAAATCCCTCAGAAGTCAATTGTAAAGGTCAGTCCAGTACATTCTTAGGCAGACGGGGAGTTCTGTAACCAAGAACACTGCTTCTCGGAGGGTGATCACACGTGGTGGTGTCAGTCTGTGAGCTCTGTTAGTTGTCCATAAGGAGATTGTGCCAGAATGTACATCAACTTTGGCACTAAACACACTGTTTCGTTGAGCTGACATTTTTTTTTTCATAGCAAGACTTTTTGAAGAAGGAAGCAGTGCCCTGATTTACCTTCTGGCTCGAGTTCCTTATTTTGGGGGAGAACTGGTACTATCAGTGGCCCTGGCCTAGGGCACAGCCTTCTTTAAAGGGTAAGAAGAAGCTGCTGCAATTCAAACTCGTTGAGCAAAGGAAAACAACCCAAACCCAAATATACCCAATTAGAGTGGGAGGAGTACAGAAAAGAGACACTCATTATTGTTTCTGAGTGAAATAACAACCCAGCATCTTTTCTTTGTTTTTTGAGTTTTTTGTTTTTACATAGTTGCTTACAAATTTATAGGGTGGGTTAAACACAAGGCACTCATACAGCTTGTGTTAGATAGAAAACAGGCATCAATATGCTGGTGCCAAGCTGTCAGTTTAATGAATCCACAAGGAATTGGGGGAAAGTGCTCTGTTAAAAGCCGTGGGTGTATTGTTATGCAGAACACTTTCCAGGGAGTTCTGCTCCATAAAGCCCTCCTTTATCTGACAAGATTTCGAAGCTCTCTTCTGATGTGCAACTCCTAAGAGGAAGCAGGTTTAACTCTGTAAAGGCGCAGCAGGGAAAATTCTTTACTGATTTTTCTACCTCACAACCAAATGATGTACAGAGTTAAGGGAAGGGAGTTATTCTTGGGGCTATCCGTTCAGCAGATATTTATCAGGGATCTACTATGTGCTAGGTGCTTAAAGACAAATAAGAGATGGTTCCTGACCTTGAGGTGTTAGTATGTGTGGGGCACTTTCCATCGCCCCTCTTCATGACATATAAAGTCAGACTTAATTACTCCCACTTACAGATGAGAAAACTGAGATCCAAATATTTGGCCAAGGTCAACAATGCATAAATGTTAAAGCGGAGGTGCAAACCCAAGCCTGTCCAACCACAACAGTTCACCTCCAAAAGTTACCCTCTTTCCTCCCTAAATTACATCAACCAGGGGAAATCAGCCCATGAGGACTGGGCTGGGGGGAGTGGAGAGGAACCGTGTATTTGCTGTCCCTTCTACTTGGGCTAATTTGGGTCAGCTTCTCCAGCTATCCTATGCTGAATAAGGTCAGTGATGACGGTTCTGATGGCGTGAGTGTCAGTCTTTGGAGGGTCAGTACAACCTCGACCGGTCATTAATACTCTTGTTGTAATTTCCCAGCTGAAGCCTGGTCAGCTGGACAGGATTGCCTCAAAGCCTGTGCTGGTGAGTGTTTAGAACAGATGTGCAAAGTCAGACATTAGTGAGCTTGCCAGTGAGAGGCCATCCTGGTTTTGGTGATCTGGCCACTCAAACCATGTCATTTTCTTGCTTTGGGGAAGCCAGGGTCCGTCGTTGCAGGACTCTGCAAATCCAAGTTAAGGCATCTTTTTTTTTTTTTAAAGATTTTATTTATTTATTTGACAGAGAGATAGGAGAGCAGGAACACAAGCAGGGGGAGTGGGAGAGGGAGAAGCAGGCTTCCTGCAGAGCAGGGAGCCCGATGTGGGACTCGATCCCAGGACCCTGGGATCATGACCTGAGCCGAAGGCAGACGCTTAACGACTGAGCCACCCAGGCGCCCCAAGTTAAGGCATCTTGACAGGACTGCTCTTGGTTTCTCACCCAGCTCTTTGATCTTGGTCCTTCCCTATCTGCTTGTCAGGGTTTGTCTTCCACGGGCACGACATTCACTCCACACGTTGCGATGGAGATTGGATGGGGTGTTGGTGAGGAAACGCACATGGATAATTAGACCCAGATGGAGCAAATTAGTTAGGCAAACTGGAGCCCATGAGTCCCCCCCCATTTGTTTGGCTCGAATATTACATAAAGGAACTTGGATCTGCAAAGGAAAAGAATGTCATTGTTGATGTGAAATGGAGACTCTTCCTCTTAAGTTCGCTGTTACTGCTCATTTGAGGCAGCTCTCCTCTTTCATGTTGTTTTCTTACCAGAGCTCACCAGAGTCCGTTTGCAAGGATTACTTTTTAAGGTGTAGGCTCAGTGGCAAAAGAGTAAACCCTCCCTGAGGATTTTAGTTATCTTCTTGCTCCATCTAAAGATGACATTCTCAGGGTGCCTGGGTGGTTTAGTCAGTTAAGCATCTGACTCTTGATTTCAGCTCAGGTCATGATCTCAGGGTCGTGAGACTGAGACTCTGCACTCAGTGGAGAGTCTGCTTGCAATTCTGTCCCTCAGCACCACCACCCCCGCTCTCTCTCTTTCTCTAAAATAATAAGTAAATAAATAAATTTTTAAAGATGACGTTCTCCATAACCCTTATAAAATGACTTATTTAAAACAGGGCTCTGAGGGGAAAACTTTATGACATTAGATTTGGCAATGATTTCTTGGATACAACACCAAAGACACAGGCAACCAAAGAGAAAAATAGATAAATCGGACTTCATCAAAATGAAAAACTTTGGTGCATCAAAGGC